GGCCATAGTTTAGTTGTTGGATAGTTGAATGGGTAGTTTTAGGAACGGGTGGTTCGGACAAACGCCCAATACCAACCAAAACGTGGCTCGATACCACTATTAGTAATTGCGGAAGCGTGATTTGTTTTGTAAGTGAGTGAGTGATTTAGTGAGTACAAGTGTTGGTACGTGGACTTGAAGCAACAGTAGAACAAAACTTTTGATAGTGGAAGACAAGTAGGAAACAAAGAAGACAAAAAGTATTGTATTATGAAGGCTTTGTACAAGGGACTTAGTTTTTTTCTTCTGATAGGTGTGTATTCTTCAAGTGGAGAGGGGTTGGCTATTTATAGCCCTCTTCCACCGCCACTAAGGAAAAATCTATAGCATGTTACATAGATATTTTTCTAGAATTTTCTACACATGTCTCATTAACCTTCTAGAAATATCAAAGATTTTTTCTAGAAACTTTCAACAGATATGAAGGCTCCTCAAGATTAATTGGAAGTTTGTTTGATGAAGGTTTTAGATCATGGCATAGGGTGACTATCTGAACCTTGAGCATTACACATGAATCTGGAAATCTTCTCAATCAATCAAAATGAAAAAGAGACTCACACTTAACAAAGCTGTACACCTCGTGCAGATTCCAGTTTTGATGCTAAGCGAAAGAGAGGATATACTGGTAGGTAATGGGGGGGAAAAGGGAGGGACCTCTGAATCGGCAAGACAATCCATTAGGAGAAGTCTTTATGGTAACAGCAGTGGCGGATGAACTTGCATGTCGACCTCGATTTCAAGGTGATTAGCCGTCCCTGCAAGCTGTTTAGGTAGTACTTGACAGCAATTGGGCATTGAAACTTCAAATTTATCCATAATATGCGCTTTACCAGTTTCAACACAGTAGATTGGACAAAAAAAATGTGAAGAAACTAATACCTGGAATGCCGATACGGAGAAAATAAGGCCAAAAACAGACTCAGAACATCCAAATACCTAGGAAATCGGTTTGAGATGGTCAAGAACCGGTCTAAAATTGTCTGAACCGGTTAGAAAAGTGCCTTGGACCCGATCGGACCAGTCTGAGTGAACCGGTCAACGGTCGGTCAACTGATGACGTGGCGGATGATGCAGCCGGAACGTCCACATGGATGGCACACGAGTGACGTCAGCGGAGCCGGCAGCCTCTCAAGGGGCGTGTAGCGCTTGTTGCGTGCGGCGGAGTTTGACGTTGCGATTTCCGGCATTGGACTAGTCGTAGTACGGGGAGGTGGATGGTGGCGTTTATTCGCTGAAACAAGCCACCAATAGCTTCAAAACAGCACTCAAAATTGTTGTCTCGCCGGAGGCGCGTGAGCCTTACTCGCAGTGGCCCAAGGCGGCAAGTGAGCACACGTGCAGCGGTGGATGGCGGCCCAATTTCGCAATCTGACTTTTCTGAGGGCGGTAAGTCCTGTGGCAGTGTTGGTTTGTAGAAAAAAAAAAGCAACTGAAAGAGTCGGAACAACAATCAAGATGGATGAGTTCGGCGAAAATGGACACCGACGCGGCTGTCATAACGTTGCTACAACTACCACTTATAAGGACTCAATAACCGCTTCCTCAGATAATAATGGATCCGATACCAAATTAATAATTGTGATAATAGAAAAATGTAATGTTCTGTTCATATTACAAATATAGAGTACACGAGCCTAGCTTTACAGGATAACTATCTAACGTGGGCAGAATATCAATCAGAATCAAGACAGATACATCTCCTAAATATATCTATATCTCTGACTCAGTGGAAAAGCTGTGTCTTTGTCGAAGAGTTCGTAAGAAAGCAGCTTCATTTTGATCGGTCGGCGACTTTGAGCTATTCATGGCTGTACGTTTACATAGGAATGCACGTTTAACCGGGTTCCATTTGCTTCATTATTCCGCAGTTCTTCGAAAGCAAACCACCTTTTAGCTTGCATTATGTGGTCTCTTCGGCCGCGCTGGTTGAGGACCATGTTTCTGATGGAATTCCAGAGGTTGAGACTTGGAAACCTGCTGTGACGTATAGGCACGAGGAGAGAAGTGAGTACGGGTTGTTCTCTTTAGTTGGTAGAGTGCTAAAGTCTTTGAATTAGGAGGTCGCTTGGAGAATTAGATTCCTGAGAATTGTAAATGAACACGAGTCCGGAGATTCCATTGACGTCCTTAGGATGATGGTTCATGTTTTTGCAGCAGCGGGCATGCGGCTTGAAGTTTGCGCCTGCTAAGGGATGTGGTTTGCTATTTCAAGGAGTTGAATGTGGACGTGTGTTCGAATTGACCGACTTTCTGCTTGATAGGCTGGCTGATGCGGTTGGGTTGGCTGTTATTTATAATGCGCTGATAATGGTCTTTGCAGCCAATTCGATGCTTAATAATGCCGAAGATCTGTTTTCAGAGGGTACGAAATTTGGACTCGAGCCTGATGTCTACTCGAGCAACTTCTTGCTCCAATGCTTAGTTGAAGCAGATAGAGAGGTCTTCGCGAGAAAATTATTTGACATCATGAAAAATCGCGGGCCAGCACCTAATGCAAGGACCTATACAATTATGCTGAACTATCTTTCTAAACTAAATCTTAGTAGAGATGTATTTCTCAGCCACGCTTCAGCAATCCTGGAAGATATGGAGAAAAGTGGGATGAGCTGCACCGTTGTAATATATGGTGCACTCATACGTGGACTTCGTAAAGTTGCTGCCATTGGGGTGGCTTTCGATTTGATACGGACATTGCAGAAGGAGGAACTGCCTTCAAATGACTATTGTTTTAATGCTGTTATTCATGGTTTTTGCCAGAAAGGCCAGTTGTCGGAGGCACTGGAAGTACTGAAGGAGATGAGGAACTATGGTGTATTTCCAGATGTCTATAGCTATAGCATTTTGATTGATGGGTTCAGCAAGAAGGGGGATGTTGAGAAAAGTCTAAATCTGTTTCACGAGATGGATGTTTCCAACATTAAACCTACAATAGTTGGCTATAGCTCGCTTTGTCATGGTCTATGTAAGGCAGGTTTCATGGAATTGTCACATCGATTTTTCCGAGATCTTGGGTATCGTGGCTATGAGTATGACAGTATTGCTCATGACATCTTAATTGATGGTTTCGTAAATCAGGGTCATGTCGGTTCTGCCGACAGACTTTTTCAAGAGATGATTAATCATAATGTTCATCCCTGTGCTTCCACCTTTACAAATATGATTCACGGATTTTGCCAATATTGCAGAGAAGGAAATTCTGAGGAAGCTTTGAAACTGGACCAGGACATTTTTCGCACCTCTTATATGTATAATACAGCTATAAACAGACTCTGCAAGTAGGGAAAACCAGAAAACGCATGGGAGCTCCTCGCGCCAATGCTTAAGAAATATATTTTCCCAGATGTTGTTATGTGTAGTATTCTTATGGACGGTTTTGCAAAAAAATCAAAGTTGAAAGAAGCTCGAAAGTTGTATGGGAAAATGTTAAAAGCTGGGATCATGCCTAACATGGTCACGAATACTATTCTTATTAACATTTTGTTTTGTGAGGGACAGGTGCGCAAAGCTTATTCTTTGTTCGTGGAGATGATACAAAAGGGTTTGCCTCCCGATAATATATGCTACACATCTATCATAGCTGGCTTCTGTAGACTTGGAGAAATTAAGAAGGCTTGGGCATTATTCATTCAAATGTCAAGAAAAGGAGTTCTTCCTAGCGTTTTTACTTTTACCTGTCTGATTGGTGGATTCTCCAAGCAAGGATGCGTGCACTTGGCTAAGTCGTTGTTTCATGAGATGAAAAGACAAGGAGTTGATCCTGATGTGGCAACATACAATGTCCTTGTAGCTGCCTATCACAGAACTGGCAGTATGAAGAAAAAGGAAAAGATGCTTCTTGAAATGCAGAAGAATGGGTTAGAAACTGTGGAGTGGATGAGAAAGTGATTTGATAAGCACTAGAAGGTGAGTCATTCATACTTATATTGAGTTATTCTTTTCTAGCATCTTCAATTTCTGTAAAGTTTGTGACTTTTTCGAAATTAGGGGCATCTGAGAAAGGCGTCTGGACAAGAATCAATCAACTTGGAGTTGGACGTATTCGGGATATGCATCGAAAGCCTCTCGATGCTCTAAATCTTTGTTGATTTCATGCTGTAAATGTTAACGTCATAAGACACCCGATATCGATAATACTGAATTCTTGTTTCTTTATTGAGGCTGCTTCACGACATCTGTAATTACACGTTCGTGTATGCATGTCGTGGAGTGGCCATCAAGTTCACTTTTAAGGGGTTCTACAGGAGTGCGCATGTGTGTATGCATGGGCTGTATGGGTCCACCTAGACGCACCATTTGCATGTAAGTGCGTGTACACATCCTTGACTGTTGTGGAGTGGATCAGCTCACTTCTCTTCACATGATCAATATCGTTCAACACTGCATATAAATACTTCTCATGTATGCTGCTGACATGGTTGTGCTGCATTTGTTTGTAAGCTCTAGTCCAATATGCGGTGCTCGGTAACAATGTAATCAAACACTAGTTGCTTGTTTGACATGGTTTAGCATGACATCTTTAGGTATCACCTTTACGTTCCGTGTATTTATGTGGTATATTTCGTACTCTATTCTCCTGCTTAATGCTAGTATGTTGACATAGTAGTTTTTCATTGTAGGCAGGAGTCATCGGCAGTACACTGTAAATCATCCCACAGACCGTATCGCTTTTTCCCAACGACATTGACCATGACTTGCAAAGACCTTCAAATAGTGCCTTCGGAGGCACAGCCATTACCTTCCCCCAATAAGCTCCTTGCATTTTGCCAATGTTTTGAAGCGTGGAAGCTGGTCAGCCGAAAAATTATATTGCCAGTTCTACATGGTCCTGGTGATTTGGCTGAACAACCATTGCAGGAGTCTGGAGATGGTGACTGGGATGGACCCATTGACTAGACAAAGTACCTATATATATATTCATGATTACGGCAAACAAGAAACAAAAGAAAGAACAAAAACAAGAGTGGGGAAAGAGAGAAAGGAGCCTCAGTAAAATAAATTGATTATTTAGATATCACTAAATTCGAGAAGAATTGGAGGATGACATTTCTATTTGCCCTTGGTCTCCATCTATCTTATTCTCTAATGTGCTGGCAACTCGAATTTTCTCACAATGTGTCCGGAGACGTTGCAGAATCATCAGCAGTCGATGGATCCCACCCAGGGGGCTTGACGTTTGGCCAATCTCCGCGGCATCCCAACCTTATGTACAGGCTCTTCTTATCTGCAAGAAAGAGACAGAACAGATGAGATTTACGGTTAAAGTAGAACTTTTTACTGCATTGAGAACAAAGCCCAAGGTCGTTTTCATTACAGCATCAAGTATGAACCAGCACTAGCCGTTATTGTTTAGGAGTCTTATAGACATGCTGGTTTCATAATTTCGTTAAAATACATAGAGGTGGCATTTTAATCCGATCTCTGTGGCTCAACCCTTCCAAGGTCTGTTTCAGCATCAGCTTCATAGTTATTTCATAGCCACTCAATTTGCAATACATGGGTCATGTGGAGTTTCACCAACTTTTACCTGGGAGCTTCCTATCTGATAAAACTAATCGTTTGAGGGCACTCAAGAGATGCTTGAGCCACGGTTTTGGAGTAATCGGCATCCCAACCTTGGAGCTTGACAACATCTGCATTTGCATAACCTAGACTCCCATCTTCAATGTGTCTTCTGGCCTCTTTCTTAGCCGAGTCTTCGTCTGCACAAAAAATCACTACTTTCTTCAAATGAAATCATCACGAGGGTCTGTAATACTGCAACTAAACAGAAAGATGGTCATCATTTGGCCTCCAACCGTGTTTCAGGTTCAGTCAAACTTCCAGCATCATTGAAATGATTTTTCATAACATCCTATCAACCATTTGGAAAATGCACAATAGCAACCTTCTTTCCACTTTGAACTTCAGCAAGGATATTATATCGGATGGCGAACCAAGTAATATCAGCAGCATCGAAAGTCTTTACAAGCCACTAAATTTGATTATCATTTTGTCTCTACCACTCAAAGATCATCAGGAAAACTGACACAAGGACAAAATGCATGGAGGAGGCACGGGTCACCAGACTACCTGTTGCTTCAGTGAAGGCAAGAATTTCAAGCAACTGCATCACATAATGCGTATACCTACAGAGGCTTTCTAATAAAACACCCTCTGCTTCAGCAATGGCACCATATCCTTCAACAAGCACCCCTGGAGATGATTAGACTCGTTAATGTGCTGCGCTGCAAGATGGGTTCTACAAGTCAACTCAAGATTGCCAAAGCGAAAGTTACTACCGGATGCATCTACGTGTAGATTTTTTTTTTGGCATACGAGGATTTTCTTGTCTATTTCCCTTTGTAGTTTCTTCTAATTTTGTTTCGGAATATGTATAGAGATGCAAATGACGTTCCGAACACCATCTTCAGCGTGGATTGGCAGTATACTGAACTCAACCTCGTCAATTGCTGCTCTAAAACATATAAGGCATTGTATGGCCCTGACATCGGCAAGGCAGCTAAGGCCCTCGCTCAATACCCGGCGTCACGTATGACGGTCGACGTCTACGTCAGCAATTAGGATTAAATTGATGTGACTGTGTCGGTCAGCCAATGCAACTTCGGGCTAGAGTTCGAGTTCTTGAAAATAATGGTGTGGGGACTTTCCTGAATCAAGGCTCAACACACAGTTAGACAATAGCCTATGCATTCCGTCCAATGGCAGCATAGCATTAGTCACTCGAACTTGAATAGGCTTAACACAAAGTTAAAAAATTTATGTTCTTTATCGATATGGGACAAGAATTCGAGAACCAAAATACCCAATCCAAAGCTGAATAGGATGGGGACAACTTGAGTATGCGGAATTCATTGCGTGTTTAGTTGGGGTTTGATGATGATGACAAGAGCAATGATCGATGATGATGGTGTTGGCAGCATTCAATCATTAGAGCTTTAAATTGAATAATGAAAATTCTGAATAATCACAAGCAAAGTACTCTGACAAGAATCCATAGCCAAAAAGAGGCTACCTCTTCTGGCTATATTTATATTGATATATGTATCCCCTACATAAAATAATAATAATAATAATAATAAAGAAAAATACCACCAAAAACCTTAAATTATGCCACTTATGATAGATTTACCCTGAATTTTTTTTTGTGACACGAAAAATCCCAAACTATGCCACTTGTGACAAATTTACCCTGAACTTTTTTTTTTACACGAAAAACCCCAAACTATGCCACTTGTAACACATTTACCCCACAATACTTTGGCCCATGGACATTTTCGTCTTTTCCCTTTTTTTGTTTTTTTTCCTTTTTTTTTCTTCTCCGGTGAGGGCTGCCCTCGCACGATCTAGCGAGGGCGACCCTCGCCAGATCAGGCACCGGGCTAGATCCGGCGAGGCAGGAGAAGAAAAGAAAAAAAAAAGAAAAAAGACGAAAATGCTCATGGGCTAAAGTATTGTGAGGTAAATGTGTCACAAGTGACATAGTTTGGGGTTTTTCGTGTCACAAAAAAAAAGTTCAGGGTAAATTTGTTACAAGTGGCATAATTTGAGGTTTTTGGTGTCACAAAAAAAAAGTTCAGGGTAAATTTATCACAAGTAGCATAGTTTGGAGTTTTTGGTAATATTTTCCCTAATAATAATAGCGAACATATTAATATTGAAAATAGTGGGAAAGACGAAAAGAAAGTAATGGAAATGGACAAGATGGTATCAAAACTTCCACAGGTCATTGGAAGAAAAAAAATCAAAACTTGAAACCATCATGTGTCTTTATACCATTTCCCCACGTTACTCGAGTTACATTATCGGATCAAAAGGGAATCAACGATTGTAAAAGGAGGCTCATGTATAAATAGGGCTACTCTCCTCTTAACAGGATCGTTCAAGCAAAGGAGTATAATACTCTGGATAGCTTCTTGATTTTCTCTCTCTCGAAATCTAAGTTTGCAATCTAATGTATCGGCAAGAGATCTTGGCAAAATTGCCACATATGAAATTAATCGATATTTTGCAAAGAAACAGCCGTTATGGAAAAATTGCTTAACATCATTTGATTAAATAATTGACTTAGCTTCTTATTGTTTATGAAACCCTCCATTACAATTGGTATTTTTTCACGAAAAGTAAACATGAGATAACAAGATTTCGACTAACTCTCGCAAGTTCAGGTTAATTATGTTTCAGCTCTTGCTCATAGAAAGACGATCAAAACATTCCCAATTATGGTCCATTACAAAAAGAAACTCCAAATGTAGCATTGGAATATAATCTTCAACTTACGGGCAAGAGTCCGTGGAGTCTTTCTTGTTACCGAGACTGCATCTCTGCAAATCAAAACCCAAATATTCTTAAGTCTATGGCCCAACACAGAGTGGGCTATGACCTATCCTAAGGGTGAGTATAGATAACCGCCGTGAACTGATAACCGTCCAGACCGGATCGAACCGGCCAGTTCTAGGCGATTTCAGGGGGCGCCAATCCGATTCCTAATTCTAGGGTGGGAACTGAACTGATTATATATACTTTTATTTTTTTTCTCCTTTCTTTCTCAGTTTCTCCACGAACACTCTTTCTCTTCACTTTTTTTCTCGTTGGTGTCAGACTCTCTCTATGTAAGGCCTCTTTTCTTATGCAAACTCTCAACCTCCTTTTGCGCTCAATCTCCGCTCCTTACCTCGACACAATCTCGCTCTCCCTCCTCTCAATCTCCTCGAGTCTCACCCTCAAGCCCCTAAAACTCACCTTGATAGACTCCTCCACCGAACGGACCTCCTCCCCAAGCCGCTTGAGCATGCTCCGCATCCCTTGTAGACATCCTTGAGGTCCTTCCACTAAAGCGACATCAGCAAGATTGAGGAGGCCTGCTCATGGTGGTTCTCCAGTGCGCCGCAAAGCATCGCAAGTCCTTCGAGAGCGTCTTATCAGCCATGGCTTTTCCTACAACTCCTAATCAAAGCAATTGAAAATCCTAACACGACGAAGACGGCGAGATCGTTTTGTTCATCAAACTGATTGTGGGTGTGTGCGCGTATGCGTGGGAGAGAGTGATAGAGAAGTTTCACTTCAAAAATCAGAGGCCACTAGTTCCATGTTCTAGAAATTGGGAACCGGTCCTTTTAGTCAGATTTCCGATTTCTGGGTGGGGCTGGACCGGACTAACCGATCACCCCTAACCTATCCACTTCATCTAGTGGATTGGTAACATTCAACGCTCAATGTCTTAACTAGATTCCTTCACAACCGATGTTGAACAAGAAGTCACTTACCCACTGTCTTTCACCAGAATTCAAAATTATAGATTTGTAGGTTGAATGAGGATGAGATCATATTAGAAACCTTGACAAAATCAAGCAAATTAAGAGACAATCGCTGTGACCAAAAAAAGAAAAGACAGGTTAAGTATAAATTAAATCCTCTAAGTTTTAGAGTTTAAACGATCTAATTTTTTAACGTTTATTTATATATTAAAGTCTCTTACTTTTACCGAATAAGTTTTGTTCTGTGCAATTAAATTATCTAATTCTTTGATTTGTTTAAGCAAGCGTTATATTTACCCACCATAATTAATTCTGTCATATTAGATTTCTTCATTCTTGTTTTGCTCATTTCTTTCTGCGCGTTATTTAATTGACGATTTAGTTAGAATAGTTGAATGAATGATTTGATTGTACAAATTGAGAATGTTAGACGACAGAGAATCAAATTGCACAAACCAGAAAGTTAGAGAGGACATAATTGAACAAAATAAAAGTTTGATTATCAAATTCCGTAAATACTAAAACTTTAAAAAAAATTAATCTAAGTAAGAAATGAAAAGAAAGATGACCCAATTAGAACCTGAATACGACAGAGAACTTGAGTGAGTTTTGCGGGGTTCATCGTGAAAAAGAAAGGGAATGAAGATAGCGTGTCGGTTGGCTTGATGATGACATGAACAATAATCGATGATGGTGACGGTGGCCTTTCAATCCTTAGAGCTTTAATTAAATAATGAAAATTCTGACTAATTTTTTTTTTTGATCGAAATAGAGATATCATTTCATTAAACCCGGGCCCACCTACAAGAGTAAGGACACTTACAAGCAAATTATTCTGCAGAAACCCTCAGCAAAAAGGCCATTACACATATATTATATAAGAAAAGGTTTTAAATGAGGCCGATCAGCAAAGTGTTTGAGGGCATAGAGACAGAGCAAGGGCTTCGGTTTGAAGGGCGGAAGATGCCTTGACTGGTCGCGCAAGGCCTTCCATCAATCTTCCTTTCGAATCGCGACATACGCATGCAATTGCCCCTTCCATGGTCCCCGAGAGGTGAGATCCATCGATGTTTATCTTCAACAAACCAGGGTCCGATGGTCTCCATCTCGGTTTTAAGTTCGCGGTCGCTTGACGCTTTAAGTTGCTTCTATTCCACTTCACGTAATTACAATGCATGTCTAGAGCCGATTCAATTATGTTAATTGGGTGTCGCTCATGATGGAATACTAGGGTATTACGCGCTAACCGATTTTCCGGAGGGTGACTGCGATGATCTCGAAAGTATGTTTTTCCTGGGTCATATCATTGTAGTTTTGCAACCACTCCTCAAATCTAGTGACCTGTTGGTGAGAAAAGTGGATGTTGAAATAGGGATTTGACCAAACCTGCTTTGTCTTGTCGCAGAGAAGGAATAGATGCTCGACTGTCTCGGGCTTTTTTCGACACAATGGGCAAAAGGTTCAAGCTAATACTTTTCTCTTGAACAAGTTTACCCTTGTAATGGTAATGCAATATGTTGCCCGTTACCCACTTTCCATCTCACCTCCTACTTACAAGCAAATTATTCTCAAACCCAAAGGCCATTACAATATTATATAGAAAAGTTAATCTTGTAAACCTATTATCGATATCGTTCTAAATTATTCAATTTTGTCAATATCATCATAAACTTTTGTACAAAATTTCAATGTGATCTTTTCGGCCAATTTTCCGTCCGAAAATTTCTAACATGGCGGTATGCCACGTGAGATGGTCGGATTTGACTAGATCATCACATCAGTGGTTTCCTGTGAAAACTAATCGAAGAGATTAAATTGAAGTTATGTATAAAGATTTAGGATTAAATTGGTTAAATCAAAAATTTTATGACTAAATTAATATCCGCACAATAATTTTTTGATTGATTAAATCATTTTTTTTTCTAATTATACATCTCCGCATAAAATAAGATGGGCACAGAGGTTCGTGGCCAGAAGAGAAGAATCGGAATTACAACAACAATGAACAGATGGACATTGAATTAAAATCAGTAGAAAAGACAAAGAAGAAGGTCATGGAAATGAGCTAACATGGGATCAAAGCTCTCCCCCCAGCCCCCCACGTGGCGGTGGTCCTAAGAAGACGGGGAAAAAAATCAAAACCTGACACCATCCTGCGTCTCCACGCCATTTCCCCCCTCACGTTGCCCGAGCTAACACCGCGTCCAATGATCCAGAACCGATTCGATTCCTCTTCTTGCATCATAAGCAATCGCCTATTTTCGATTCCTGTTTTTTTTCAACAAAAACGTATGCAAAGGTCCATTTATCCACGATCCTATGTGCCTATCGATCTTTCAAGGTACGAATTCTCGAGATAGAGTAAAAGAAAATCTCCTAGATAATCATGCTAATAGCCCATGAATTTTAGCCCAAAACGCAAATCACCCTTGAATTTTTAATTTGACCAATATAATCCATAAAATTTTGGTATATATTCAATCTAGTTCATGATGATCTACACGAAAGCGTTCAATGATATCCATAAACTTGAACAAATTAAAAATTTAAAGATGACAATATACTTTAGGCTAAAGTTCGGAAACCATACCGAACAAATTTAAAATTTAGAGACGACATTAAAGTTTGAACCAAAATTCAGGGACCGCTCGTGTCATTCTCCAAAAATCTTAACACGTACGGGACTTGACGTGCTCTTCTGTATCGAGCTTACCTACTTGAGTATACCGAAGTCCAACTATTTCACGGAGAAATGTGCGAACAGCTATTGACTGAAAATCAAAGTTACATAATATATGCGATTCCTTCCTCGAGCACCGCTGGCATAATAAAATAACTTTCGGGCCCACCCATCCATGTACCCGCACAAATTAAATAGCGTTTAATAAATCCATTTTCGCAAGCCGTACAAGTTATTTGCGGATGCGTCACCTCCTTCCCTCAAACCTAAATTTTAGTCTTTATGATATCGTGGATTTCACGCCGAATTCCTGTTACTAATTAAAAAGAAAAAATTTGCTTGTGAATAATTTTTAGGACCACCTTCCTCGAATAATCAATCAAAATTTCAATTAGCCCAAAAGCAAGAAGACGATGTTCCTTGGTGCGTCTCATCGCTCTCCCCATCAGCAACACTGCCGAATAGAACAAAAAGCGAAAGAGGCGACAGAGAGCGGACATTCGGGAAGACGCTTCCGCGACCCACCGACAGTTTTCGGTGCACAGTTTCCCCGTGACACCTCCTTCAATTATCCATTTATGTGACCACGTCATCTAATTAAATTATGTCAATTTCCATCATGAATTATGAACAAAATCTTGACGCAAGTTGATCGACTCTTTCACTAACCATTTGTATAAATGTAAATAGACAAACGCATAAACTTCACCCGAAACAAAAAGGTAACAATAGCGTCCAAAATTCATACAAGACCAAATCAATTTTCGATCTTCGCAATTGTTAAAAGCCACTCAAATCTCTTTCCATCGACTTTAACCCACTTTCATCATTGCTTATTCATTGTTGAAAATTCGAAACTGGGGGCAATGCGCTCACCTAGCGTAAGTCAAAGCAAATTTCCCATCATTCTTCTTTCTCTGTAAATCTCACTTCTTTTCCTAAGATTCGCGTACCCACATCGCATGTGCTGGTGAGAAGTGCCTAAAGATTGTAGCTAATTTACATTCAGAAACTCATACCAAATGTTTGCAAGCCCGTGTATAGGAAATACATGTGCAATAATTAGTCAATAAAATCATATGCAGCTATGTAAATTTCGAATTATGGTCAAAAAGAAAGTGGTGCACGTGATATAAATTAGGCATTTTTTTGTTGAGCCTGAGGGGGCGGGAATAAATAATCACGGGACAACCAAAATTGAGCACTGATGGTCGCCGCTGCACCGATTGCCTCTCATTAAATAAGTAGAATTAATTAAAAAAGAATGCAAAAAAGGAAAAGAAAAGAAATTGCTGTGTGTACGGACAGCTAGATTGGGCACTGGGGAGTCGCGCTGCTGCACTGATTTGCTTACTCACTAGACAAATAGAATTAATAAATAAAATAAAATAAAATAAAAGGAATTGTTGTGCTAGTTGACCATAGAAAAAAGGGCACAAATATGAAAAGAAAAAAAGAGAAGAGAGAACCGAATTGATGAATAATAACAGTGAGTGGTGGTGGTGGCGGTGGTGGTGCTTGGGAAGGAGTGAAGAAGCCAGCCAGACCCTTTTCCAGCTGTCCATTTTTTAAAAAATAGCAAGGAGAACCATCAAGTAACGGTCATGACACTCCAGCTGGACTCCAACCAACTGGATTACTCTCGTCCCGTGCTCATCCGTCCCACTCTAACTTGCGCCTCTCCCACACCAGGCGCAATCTAGCCAACCCCTCCTCCCCTCCCTCCCTCCCTCCCTTCCCCTAGTTCATAGGGCTGCTTCGAGTTCTACTACCATCCAGCAATTACGCTAGAAACTCCACCGAAGATCGTACGCAATCACGATTATTCCTGTCACCGGATTCGGTTCAGAGAACTCAATGAGGGAAGGCGGTAGCCGATAAGCATCATCGGAAATGGAAACTTCAATGTACAAAAATGGAAGGCAATCAAACTATGGCGTTACGAACAAAAACATATAGAATAATCACTGCCAGATTTGTCGTATAAACATGGAAAAAATAGATAATGATGATGGATGGATGGATGGATGAAGCCGAGAACGGAACCGGAGGAGGAGAACGGCGGCGGTGCTGGGAGGGGAGGGGGGGGGGACCTCTAGAAATCGGCGAATTTCCGGTGAACGGCGCGAGATCTCTGCGGCTGCGATCGCCTCCCGACCTCTCGCAAGCTCCTCCGGCTCCGAATCGCCAGCGCGTCGCCCCTGCGGACCTCGCTGAACCGGCTGATCTCGTCAATGTCGGTAGCGACTGGAATCATCGCAGATCGAAATAACAAAGACCACATCAAATTGGAGCACGAAAATAAAAGTTGCAGAAGGAAAATCAGAAATGGCGCTCAATCGGCCGGCTCCGAACGCCTCCGCACTGTACCTATTTGCTTCGCCGGTCGCTTGAACCCGCTGAACTGAGCCAGATCTGAAACGAGAAAAAAAGCACAGAAAAAAAAAATCACTTCAGCAATCGGCGGTTCGGATGAAGGAGAAACCGGGAACGCGAGAGGTTGCGACGGATTACCGGTCTGAGAGGGACTGTGGGAGCAGAGGTAGAGGACGAGGAAGCAGAAGAGAGTGAGGAGAGGGATGAGGTGGATGAGCTTCTCCGGCTTACGAGGCGACAGTGCGGAAGCAGAAGAGGAAGACGACGAGGAAGACGACGACGCCGCCGCGAGGGACAGCCGGTGAGGCCTGGAGGACTTGTCGTCATCGTAGTGAGGGAGGAGGAGGGAAGCGGACGAGAGGAAGGAGTCTCTCCGCTTGGAGGCGGAGGAGGAGGAGGAGGAGTCGTCCACGACGAGGGCGTCGTCCTTGGCCGAAGACAGGGCGGAGGAGGAAGCGCCATGGCCGTGGAGCTTGGAGGCCGGGGAGCCCAGGGACTGTCTCTGCATGTTTCAGTGAGTGTGCGTGAGCAAGACGAGAGAGAGAGAGAGAGAGAAAGAAAGAGAGACGTGGCTTGTCTTTTGGGCTTTGTGTCACTTTATTCGCTTTGATTGTTCCTTTTTCCGATTTCCCCTTTCTTTTTTTCCCTCTCTTTTTCGCTTTTGACTTATCTTCCCTAATACTATTACAATAATACCTTATATTCCCTCATCGGTTCCTTCTCGTAGAAATTATTTATTGGCCCGTTTCTTTCGTTCGAGAAAAATCCACCACAAATCCCAAATTATGCCTGGCATAATACATTTATCATAAGTTTTTTTTTATGACACAAAAAATTCCTACTTGTTATGTGTACCACATTTATCCTCTTCTATCAACGAGTACCGTTAAAAATTTACTTACGTAGTTAACTGAAGGCAAACGGTATTGACATGGCACGATCTTGCTTTTGCTAGAAGGTAAATGTGTCAACGGGGAGAAATTTCAGATATTTGATGTCACAAGAAAAAATTCATGATAAATGCGTCACGGTGTGCATACTTTGAGATTTTTAATATCACAAAAAAAAATTCAAGATAAACAAATGTGATGTAATTTGAGATTTTTAATGATTTTTTACCTTTTCTTTTTAAATATCATGAGAAAATTCCGTGCCAATGCAAGTTTCGACGGACCTGCCCCTCATGAGGTGGTAGGAAGGCCCCCCGCCCCGCACTCCTAAGTCCAGAGAGGACGGACACACGACGCAAGCCGAAGGATTCGAACTCATGTCGCGTGGGTGGAGTCGAAGCGGCACAGCCAATGGCTACGCACCCGTGGGGGCAATCTCCTAATAAGTTCCTAGTCGAGAACGCGACCAAGCCCACTATGGGCTAGGCGAGCGATGCTGTCTTATTATGGATGTGCCAATTTGGGATTTTGGGCTTTGTTGAGATCGTGCGGGGTGAACTTGCATTTGGGGTGAAATTCCCCAACCCAAAGACAATCGCGTGGATAGAGCCTCCGTGGAAAGTGCGGGTCCATCATGTAAAGCTCACCGAGTTTAATCGGAAAAATTGCCAAAAAATTCTAAACCTATTGTACTTTTATCAATTCGGTCCTAAATATTTTTATTGTGCTAATTGAGTCCTAAACCTTTTTAAAATTTGCCAATATAATCCACCCAGCCAATTTTTGTTGGAAATCACTAACGTGAACCCTGGGTGTTCTACGTGGTACGATCGACGTTGACGTGAAAAAAATTTATTAAAATTTTTAATGTTTTTTCAATTTTCATTATTCTTTATATATTTAATTTCTTTTCTTTTTCTCCTTCTTCCTCCTCCGCTAGTCGCCCAACCTCAGCAATGGCCAACAACCAGCCAAAGACTAATAAGACTAGCGAGGGTCGCCCTCGCTATAGGCCCGCGAGGGACGGCCTCGTTGGGATCTGGCGAGGGACAACCTTGCCGTAGGCTAGCGAGGGTGAGACTCGACCTAGCTGGGATTATGCAAGGGACGACCTCGCTGGCCTTGGGCAAGGCCGACCCTTGCTGGCCTTTGGTGAGGGCGAGCCTTGCCCAAGGTTGGCGAGATCATCCCTCGCCAGATCCTGGCGAGGGTGAATTCACCTAAGGTGGGCAAGGGCGACACTCTCTTGTCATAGCCTCTAGGCGACCATTGCTGAAGCTGGGTGACTGGAGGAGGAAGAAGGAGAAAAAAAAAAGAAATTAAAAAATAAAAAATCATATTAAAATTTAATAAAATCTGTTCACGCTAGCGTCGATGTCAACGACCAAAATTGGCTGGATGAACTACATTGGCAAATATTTAAAAGGTTTATGACATAATTGGCATAATTGAAAGGATTGAAACTGAATTGGCAAAAGTGCAATAGGATTAGGACTTTTCAGACAATTTTCCGAGTTTAATCGCATTCTCACACCCGAAGCGAATGGGCTTGGAGGGGCAGGCCCAATCGGCCCAACCCGGTCCTCTTCCGGTCCAGGTGGTGGGCGCAGAAGTCCATCTCAAATGGACCGGCTGCCACGGTCACGCGGGGCAAAGCGACGGCCCAGACCGTTCCAGATGAATCGGTGGGGGGGCGGCGCGGCGACATATAAGCGCGAACGAAATCGTCACTGCAATCGAAACCTCTTGGCGGCTCTCGACAAATCGCGTATCCCTCCCTCCCCCGTGCCTTCCCCATTGCTTGCTCGAAACGAAACGTCTCGAATATTCCCTCCATCTCCATCCTCCTTCCACCACCACCACCACTGACCGAGCATTCGAAGATCGCGAGAGGGAGAGATGGTGCTGTGGGAGATCACGTTGGGGACGGCCTACTTCCTGGGCCTGAAGCGCACCTACAAGCTCGCTTTTCGGATTCAGCGCAGGTTGATCGCCCCCAAGCACCCCAAGATCCGTCAATTCGTCCAACGGTAACCTTTCTCCCCCGCCCCCTCCCCCTCCTCCTCCTCCTCCTTCCCCTCTCTCTCGAATCGTTGATCGGCTTCCTCATTATGTTGTCCCGGATCGAGATTCGGCGTCTTGATGTCGCGAGCGAGCGGGAAATCGTGATCAGACTTATTGCCGCCGCGGAAAATGATGGGAAGCTCTCCGAATGAATGATTTTTTTTTCGGGAGCCTTTTTTTGGAGATGTTTGCTGTCTTGCTTTGGTTGGAATTGTGTTATGTCAGGTGGAGTCGTTTAGCGAGACGCCTAGAAAGTAGAGAGATTTTTATTTGATGAATGTTGAAAGAGAACGCGCGAAGAATTTTGGCCGCCGCGGGATGTCCTGTGCATTGGCCATTTCTTGTTATCTGGCTTCGGGTATTCAGGAATAGATTGAACGTCAGTGTCTACTACAGCTAACAGGACCAAGGTAATGACAGTGATGATGTTCAAGGGTATAGAGGGATGTTTTGTCACCCTGGTGTGTATTGGTTGAGTTCCTATTAGTGTGCTCTAAGGTCTGTGTGAGCTTGTATCCCGACTCGGATTTCTTATGCTGACACGGGAGGTAGCTTATGTGGTGAGTAAGTGTTCTTTCTTGATTCTGCATGGGCCCATGGTTGCGAGCTGCCAATGTGGTGTAGGTTCGAACTCTTTTGCTAGCAAGATAAGGATGGGTTTCCATTTACAATGTGATTTATTCAGGAATTTTCTACTACGGGAGTCCATAGAGAGTGTAGGTGCAAATTAGTTAAGCTACTCTCGGTGCACTTGAACACGCTATGCTGTCTACTTGAGCTTTGACTTGATCCTTTTCAAGTTTAAGTAATTTACTATCGATTTCAGTTGAGGTTGATCGGGTTTGATTGCGACCGCAGTTTTGAGATTTGCTCAAGCTTAGAATAGATTCTAATTTTTTGGGTAATCGAGACAGGTTCAAGCATGTCAAGTACTTTATTGAGTCTAGCTCGATCTTGAGCTTAAAGCTCTCGTAGTAAAGTATTTGGCCTTGGTTTTGAGTAATGTATGAATGAAGAATGTTGTAGATTCAACTCAGCTTGATTGCACCCCAATTAGAGAGATCAACTCCATTGCTAGGGCTGATGGTCGATTTTAGTTGGGAGTTATGGTACCTTACAATGCGAAGACAGAATTATGGTATATTTTATCCATCATAGATCGCATCACAATGCGCTTTTGAAATATGATAGTCTCTATACCAATGTGCAAGATGGGACTTAGGCGGTCACACATTATATAAGTCAATATGACTGCAAAGAAGTGCTTTTTCTTTGGTTACATAAATGCACTTTTACGTTGCTGGGCCAAGTGAATCCATTTGATGAATGTTTTCGTCAAATTCGACCGAGACTTGTTGGGTAATCCAGTTTGTCTGTCATTGTAAATTTTTGCGTTTCATTTCCATTTTTGCTTTTATTTTGAGGGAGAACATAAAGAGAGGAAAACATGCGGGCTTTAGAATTCAGGGTGAAAGCATAATGGGCCTTAGAATCAGAGTGAAAGTCCTGGCAAATGATGTTCATTTCTACTACTTCTTCCGTGTAGAAATCTCAGTTCAGTTCTCTGGCAATTTTACAGTTCATGGAGTCATGGCTTCTCCTTATGCTTTTGATGGAACTTCTTAGATTTGTTGGTCTTTGGCATACTGTGAGCCTCTAACCGTCTTATTTACTTCCACATGTCTATAAACTTCATAAATAAGTTGTGTGGTTAGCTAAAACCCTTGATGTTGATTATGGAGCTGGAAATCTCAAGAAGGTTGTGAGCTGCATTGTTTGTTGTTACGAAGTGCATTGCTATGGGTAGTGTTTTGGTGATAACCCGGTTTTGAACCTGGTAAGAGCAACTGCCATGAGACAATAAACTCCAACTCCGTTGCAGTCAGTGAAAATTTTATTGAGTACTCGTTTATTGAAGTGTTCCGATCAAATCTTTTCATCCATTCTCATCGTTCTCCATCTTTCACTTCAACAGACGAACTCGTGCCATATTTGACGTGGCGCTGAAGGTTCACAGGAACATACAAGAGAGAGACATTGAAGTCGGTCGGAACCTCGGCAACTGGATTCTACGTTGGCTGGACCGGATAAAACCATCAGCCCAAATTCGCGGTTCTTCCTCAGGGGGAAGCCCTAGCAGTTCAAGCACCAGCATGAATATGACTAAGCAAATCAAAGGCACTGCACAGTGGAAAGACCCCGGGACTTTCAGCTCATCAAAAAATGCAGAATCTGATAGGCGCATGTTTGCCTCGTTAAAGAACACATGGCCGAAGCCTTTTCCTACCATCACAATGATGATGCAGTCGGCGAAACCAGCCGGTCGAATTACGCAGTACAGGCATGCGAGTACCTATGGGTCCGAACTGCCAAGGTCGCATCTCACTCGCGGTCAATACGGGGGAGTTTTCAGGGAGGACATAATGCAGTGGATGCTGCATAAATGAACGCTGCAATTTCCCTTGTATCCCTCACGAACCACAGTTTCGGAGACCTAAATTTTTTCCTCGGACACGGCAAGCTTAGATGCTGTTCCTCCATTTTCTTTTTTCTTCCCTTCGTTGTAATGGCGGTTCATCAGGGTCTTAATTTTCCTTCGTGTAAATTCTTATGATCCCCCCATTTTTCTCTGGAGCTTTTCAATGTCTGAAATAAAAACGGGTCCTTTATCATATCGTTGACTGGAAAAGTAACGTACGAGGTCATTGTTCAATTCGGATTTGCCAGCTTAGGTACGGCGGAGGGTGTAGTCGAAAGTAAAAGCCCAAAGGACCAAGATTCTCCTAAACAGGCCCATGCCGAAAGAACCCTACGCCTAATATATCGTAGATACTTTAAAAACATGTATGAACGTATCCGATGTTATGAATTTTTCTCACTTTCTTGAAGATGGTAGCACTTTATCTCCTACAATTATACCTTGCTCCTCGGCTAGGTCTCTCTATTTTCTGTTTCTTATCTCCTGAGTACTCGGGTACGATTGGGTTTTCTCTTTGAAAACGACCAACGATACGAGGATTGTTTCCAGATTTTTCTTTTTTTGACTCTAGGCTAATTGAATCAATCAAACTTTAGCACTTAAAAAGCAAACTCGATTGTGCAAAAAGAAAGGCTCATAGGCAGCTCGTAAGTTGTGAGAAAGCGATGTTCTTCTCCTTTTGAACAGTGCCGTTCCCCTGCAAAATGATAGGAAGACGACTTATGGCTTCTCTCCTTTTTGAATTGTGCCATCCTACGATTCCCCGAGGAAGGAGAGAGAGAGAGATGATCTTCATATGTACTCCAAGAAAGCAAGCGCCCCCTTCTCATGTTAGAGAGAGAGAGAGAGCAAACTTTTGGAAAATGGAAAAGGAGAAAAGCGAAAGAGAACGCGAAAGACAATGATAAAATAATCATAAAACGGAGAATTAGGTTTAATGGGTTCTTGTCATAATCCGCACATTTGTATGAGCCACCAGTCGGTCTAGATTTGTCGGGTGACTGGAACACGATCTCTCATGCTGATTAGCCCTCGGGGAAAAGATTCAATATGTTTCGTCTTTTTGATTATCGCGTATCAATCCAAGAACAGGATCCTATACCTATGGGAAGCTAATCTCTCTTTCTTTTAGGAGGGGGAAGAACTCCAAATAAGAACTTGCTACTTTAAGTCTCGTTAATCAAATCTCTTCAAGTTTTATAATGGGATAAAGGGTCGTCTAGCATATTTGTTTCGAGTTGAGGAAAGAGTGTCCCCCCATCTTCTTTCTTCTTTAAGGTATTCAAAGTCATGTGATTTTCAGGGAATATTATGCAAGTCTTCCACTCAATCTCGTCTTTTTGGAAGAGTTCCTCCTGAAGCCTGGTTTTTCAATAAAGTTGATAGCTCCCCACTCGGACTCGGGACATCCCCATCACCACAATTATTGCCAAATGCCTTGCACGAAGATATTGTATCGTTGCAAAGAATCATAACTTTTAATATTAGTCGATTACAATTCGTAAAACCCCCTCTTGAACTCCTTGCAATAAGATAGATGTATTTTAATATCTTGACTCGTCCTATTTTCTAGTAATATCTTGTCAGCCAAAAGATTCCTCCCGAAAAGTTACGTCGAATCGTGAAAAAGATAGCCCGAGAAAGACGCCCGACTCATGAGATATTCGTTCCCGAAATTTTACCTCCATACGCATCCGACACATATATAAATGCACACAGACCCGGTCAATGGAAACAGTGATTGGTCGGTACGAAAGCCAGTATCCGAACAATATAATCTTTTTCTTCTTGGGGGAGTGCGTGGATTGAATTACATGGAAAACATTGCACCCTTTTGGGAGGTCTAATCTGAAAATAATCTCGTTGACTAAGTAGGGGATTTGCCAATAAACATATGGTCATGTGCACTTTCCTTGTCTCGGATATATGGGGTGATTGTCAGGCCAAAACATTTTATCTAAGTATGATTTAAAAGGAATCAATGCGTACGGTCACGTCATTGGCGGAATTATTATAAAGATCGAAATATATATTTTTTCCAAGAAACCAAAAAAAAAAAAAAAAAGAGAAGTTGTCCTTTTGTGCCGGAATTATTGTTTGCTTGAACTTTACTTGATTCTTGGCTTTGGTTAGTGCGATGCCAATAAGACCAAGAGATGTTGGGAAAACCCCCCGGACCATATGCATTAATGAATGGTAATTAATGTCCAAAGAAAAAAAATAATTATTATTATGTTAATTAGTGTCGGTGTGGACTTGTGGAGGTCAATAACCCCTCTCTCCCTCTCTCTCTCATTATTTAGAAAAAAAAAATATTATGCTACTATTTTTTTTTCTGTAGGAAAAATAATTATTAGTATATATATAAATGTGTGTCTATAGATTGTCATCGGCCAACTAATGTATGGCGAAAATGTACAACTTGTCCATGTCGAGTGGTTTGCAACGGGTGTCTTTCAAGAAGGGAAAAGATAGCAAACTTATGGAGGGAGTCGTTTTGGGTTTGAACCTTAACAAATTCTTTTACACATACACTTAATAGTCAATTGAAATAAGACCCTTTATTTATTTACTCCCTTTTATATACACACACATACACACAAAGATAATGTTTTGATACTTATATCGAGGTATTAATGTGAGATTCCTTGACACGAGAAACTAAGATCAAGACTCCAAGATAGTCATGGAATTTCGAACTAACAGACAAAGTTAGATGCTTCCGGGCCAATGTTTTTATCTGGCATTCTACATGGAAATCCCTCAAAACATGCAAACCCTAAAGATAATCTCACTTGGAAACAGGGCATACGATCGCGAGGTTTGACGCTGATCGGATCGTTAATTATAATAATGGAGCTACATGCCTTGATGATTAGGTGAAGTCTGCAACCACTGCTTCGGACAACACAAATGTCAGTCTCTATGCTTCTGTTCTACGTCGGTCCCTGAGGAAAATTTAATGTGGTTTGAGCATTACAAGCATGGACACGAATTATACTATTCGACCCTCTTGACGAGAAATAATATATGTTTATGTACATAGATTCTAATGCTGTCAGGAAGACTGGAACCCTAGAGAAGAACACAGAGAGAGATAAAATGATAGTTTTATCCCAGCATTTAATATGGCGAATTACAAAGCAATGTTAATTTAAGCTGCTCCAATTTAAAAGAAGAAAAAGGGTTTTATTTGTTTAAAATTTCTATTAAGAACTTTCCTTTTACCAAGAAAAACAAAAAGAAGAAGAAATTGTCTGTTCTTCTCGGGGAGATCCCCATGGCTTTACCTTGTGATCTTAAGTACGGCTTATAGCTGTCTGGCCATCTAAAGAAACGACCTAGAGACTATGGCGATGGTATTGATGTCTCTAATTTAGTGTATGCTAAGATGTTTTGTATCTGCAGAATAAATGGGTCATGTTTCATGTGTTGACGAATTTTGCTTTTGATGGATTAAGACCAGGATAAAAGATCCTTGCTGTTATTCAAGTGAAGTTAATTACTGATTTTACTGCTTGGCTAACCACTTAAATGCCAAAGAGTGCTTAATTCAAATGTTTTATTAATATGCAGTAGACATATACTTTGCACCTAAAACTACTCGTAAAGATGAAGAGAACATATTGATCAGAAAACCAACTCGGTCATAGCCAGTTCTTGAAATGTGGAATCTGGCATTGAATGTATCAGTTCCATTAAGTCCTAGTTCTAATAAGAATTACCATTTTTGTTTTAAAACTTCTTATCTTAAATTTTGATTAACTTATCTATGACCTAGAACTGAACAACTAAAGCTCGACATAATAGAGTTGAGAAAGTTTCATTACATAATCAATGATTTTTCAGAAAATCAAATGAAAAATAATTTGTTCTTTGAAAGAAAAATAATTTCCTAGACATGTTCTACTGTAGAATCTACCTAGAACCACCGGTTCTATGGTTCTACGTATATTGTAATCATCGATTCCTTCTTAGGTAGAACCAATTGGTTCCGAGGCCGGAAACATGATCCATACATGTTCTCCCCGAAAGCAACGTGTAATCTCATCGATCAAGGTCAATTCTGACCAAATTAGGGATCTATCTAAGAGACACTTGGACATACATTAACCTTATGATAATGGCACCGCCTGATGTAAAAATTTGTTTTTTTCAATATTGATATCGATTGGTCGTTTCTATGTAAACCACATGGGCACGAATTCGCAACTTGCAAGTTAACCAACAGGGCAAGCAAACAAGATAGACAGACGTCACTGAAAAGATGTTAAAAGGGCTCAAACAGAGAAGAGAAAAAAACATACATCGTACGTCGAAGCGTGTTATTTTTTCCTGATGGGTGTAACTTCAAAAGAAAAGCAAAAGGGTGAGACAACTTAATGGGCAAAAATCAAAAAGCTACCAGGAAAAAAGAACACAAAAGATTGCAGCTAAAGGAAGATGCACAAATAACCCACAAAAAAAGAAACTTTTGACGTGACACTTCCTCAAATTCATGCACCCTCGCCTTGCCAAGATATGAACTTAAGGGTTCCCGCAAGGAAATCTGAGGTACAATCTTAATCTTTTGGATAAGTTGCAAGAATGATTATCGAAATGACCATATCGGTAAAACCCTAATTCTGACATGTCCCGTAATATCTTGACATATGTAAACTTGTAATCTTATTAGTCAGTAAATAGAATTCGACGGCACACATGGTAAGATCTCAACACATTTTCTCCATCGAGGTAAACAAAATACAAATCTATGTTAAAATAAAGATCTCTTTTTCTTAATTAGTATGATATGAGAGTCCATCGCATGTTGTTGTAGCGATAATTAGATATTACATTAAAAACCATAAAAAGGAGATTGTGGATTTGTTGCATCTTGTACTTCTTAATTTACTTCTTCTATCCCATTTTTCGGAAAGCGAAGAAAGGTTAAGGTTTTTGAGAAGTTATGAACATACTAAACATGCATGCCCATGTCGATGTTTGTGTATTTTGAAAGTTTCAGTATTTCATGCTAGATAAATGTCAAAATCGCGAGAGCTGCTTATGTACTATTTGAAACACGAAATAAAAAGCGAAAAAGCAGACTGGCCCCCAGGGAAAAAAATGCAGTTTGAGGAAGCAAAAGGCAATTAATTAGAGAAAGGGATTGGAACAAAGGTGGGGATTTCTATCTTTTCATGAGAAAAGGAA